TGCGGGATTGTTTTAGTCGGTGATAGTGGCGATTCGCTATCTTGCCTCCTTCTTTGTGTTTATTGGTTTTTGCCGGTAGTAGCGAACCCACCAAGAGAATGAGCGCCGTGACGATGCACTTTTGGTGCTGCTTGATCGGCGCCAACAAATCGTCGCGTCGGCCGGACGTAAACCGCAGCGAAGTCTGTATCCACATGCCATCACGAACATCCCATTCGTGTGGTTCGTGTCGTATGTTGGCGTGTTCGCTCAATTCGTTTTACCCAAATATGGATCGCTCGCGTCCGGGACGCCTACATTACTGAGTGCCACTATCCAAAGTCACGGAAATTTTCGCGAACCTTCTTTTTAAACATCTTTCTTCTTTTTCTTTTAAGTTAGCTTCATAAAAATAAAAATAAAAAATCTGTCGTCGCATCGAAACGTACGCGCATGCGCAGGTCGCAGGACGAAGTTTTCACTGGATGCGTCGCTGCAGTATTGAAGAATGCCTCGCCAGAGAAAAGGGCGGACTGACGGGCAACTCTAGCTGAAAAAAAAAATGAAAAAAACTACTAAGACGTTGAAGATTGCTAACGTGTCGGAATGCGAAAGCATTCGTATACGTAGCGTATTCCTACAAGCTGCGCGCCGCGCTGAGCTCGGCCGTGCGGCCTCTCCGGAGTCTGCCCTGGCGGGCTCTGCTGGCTCTGTGGCCATGCCGCTGCGCCATGGAGAGAGAGAATTTCTCTGTGGGGTGGCGTTCTTTGGAACTACGCCACGCGCCAGCCAATGGGGTGGCTGCTACACTCTACAGGCTTCGGTCCATGGGACAGAGGCATCTAGGTGCCGTTTGGCGTGGCTTCAAAAGCTGATAACGCCGGTTAGCTCCGTGGGACCAGTTAATCCGGCCACGTACCGAGTATGACCGTGCTCAACGTGCCTAAGAGACTCTGGAGTATTTATATTCATAAAAGACAAGCCACACTATCGCATGTCGACGTTGTGTGCAGCAAAGCGCCAAACCGTTCTGCCAACCCTCAGCTTAAAATCAGTCATTAGTTAAAAGAGTCATTGCTTCAATGTTCCTCGAGGCATCACATGGGAAGTCATGTGCACATGGCGCTCAAGAGAGCTTCACGAAACAGGTAACGCGGTTACAGAAGGCGGGCTGACCCAAGAGCACTCTGGCGGAGGTGGCAGACAGCCTAATAAAAAAGATCAACAGTATTGTTGGTTTTTGTTGATGTTGTAATTGTAAGGAGATCAATAGGGCTGATTGTTGGGCGAGTTGGTGCTCAACGTTAGAAGACACGGTAGCGCTTGCGTGTTTGCACGAGTCGCCGAAGATATATAGAAGTATCGCTTTTTTTTTATTAAACAAAACTGAAACTAAACGCAAAAACAGAAATGTAAACATCGGTCTCAAGTTTTGGAGACAATTCTGCAGACGCTGGAAACAACGGGCTCACCATAATCGCTTTCCGTTCGGAGCCGACGCGACGAAACCGCGCTCTTCGATCGTCGAGTCAAAATAAAAAGAAAAGACTGCCGAGTGCCTTTCTACAAATATACGTATGTGTGCGTTAGGTCGGGAAAGAAGATTGAACAAGAAAAAGGATTTGTGTCGTCGACGGGTCCGGGATCGCTTTGTTGTCCCCATTTTATTTTTTGTTATTTTCGTTCTTGCTGTTTCTTCTTTTCTTTTTTTTTTTTTTCTATTTCCCTCGAGTCTTATTTACGCAAAGTCGCGCCTTGTTAAATCCCTATATTTTGTCACCCACTCGACGTCCCGGAAAATAGCCCGAACGCGCGGCTGGAGAGAACAGACTGCATATTTGGTCGCGGCCAAATTCCGATGCTTCGCTGTCGGCGGCGTGCTGTCAGGACGTTTTTAGTGGTGTTGTTTATGTTTTGAACTATATATGAGGTCCTAACCTCGAGGTAGAAGCCGACAGTAACAATGTGGAACGTCTGCTTCTGCGTGAATTTCAAAATACGAGGCATAAGACAGCCAGCGCTCTTTTTTTCACGCACCTTCACTCGTTGTTAGCCGTCCAGCGCTTCAAACTACAAAATAGCAACGGACAACGCCTCACCGGCGAATCATCGCAGAGCGCGGCGAACCCGATACATCTCATTATCGCATCGCAGACAATGAGATTTCAGCAATCGACGATAAAAACTCCAAAAGAATCACGAAGCAAGGGGGCGTGAATCTAATAACTCCCCCCCCCCCCCCCCCCCCTCGGTTGTTTCTTAAAGGAGCTGTGCAACGAATTTAGCGTTGAAAGAATTTGCATCTTCTACTTTTGACATTGTTTATCTTGTCACAAAGGACATAAAACACATCTCCTTCCTTCAAAATGTCGCGATTCCACCACGTTATCGCGAGGCAAAAATTATAATATTTCCCGACCTGGAGCTGCGAGCGGCGGTCATGAGAAGCACGCGGCATGACGACAATGGGTTACTTGTAAAAAAATAGCAAGTTGTGCAAATACCTGCTCGATAAAAGGTAACTTTCCTATGTATCTTGTCGTTCCAACATAAATATATACGTGTCAAAACCCGGTATCATCGACAAAAATATGACTATACGGAGTTTTAGTGGCGCCATCTATCCGAGGTCAACAAAACCGTCAACCACCGCGCGACCGCGAACAGTCGCCAGCCGCCGGAGGGGGACGGGAGCAGAGCAGGACGGGAATGGCCGGACCCCGACGAGACTTTCCTCCTTTCGCCATGTTGATTGCGCTGCGCAAGCACGTGATCACGTGGTCGCGAGCGGATGAGTTCTCGCTGCTCACTGATAGCTTTAGAGAGATAGCTTCGCCGGAACCCCGCGCATCCCCCATTCACGTCACAGCGCGCGTGACTCGGAAGATGACGAAGGAATTGAGAGGTACCAAAAACCTCAACTCAATCTTTGTCAATTCTAAAAATAATAACTAAAAATGCATGCAAACGAAAGCGGTTTTTTTTTCTTTTTACTTCAGAGAGGTCGAGACACCAACTCCAAAATATTTAATCAAAACACTGAAATTGTTGCACAGCTCTTTTACAGACCGACAACCCGTTCGCGCTTTCCACTTTTCTTTCGCTTCTTCCTCTCCCCCTTCTACCCTGTCCACCGTTGCCTGTTTCCTCCTCCCCCAGGGTGAGGAGGACCTTCTGCTTTGCAGAAGCTCGAGTCTGGTCGTCGGCCTTGAAGTTATCACCGTCTATATAAGATGCTCAGTCAAAAACCAGCTAGAATAATCAAAGCCCTTGCACTAGAATTTTGACAACATCACAATGATACCGAGCAAAGTGTGCAATAAGCGCGTCGAAGAACGCTCGGCATCGGGCTCGGGTAAAACGACAGACGCTTTCCGAAATTCTGAAATGATGCAAGAAATTACGCGGAAATGCCATTAGTTGGTCTCACCGCTCCCGGCGTGTAGCCCGTGATTGGGTGCGAGCTCGCGCCGAGCACCGACGCAGCGCTCGTGCGGAATTCGCGTTTCGACACGAGTACACTCCGAATGCTGACGAAGCGCTCGTACCCAATGCGTGCTTGCTCACAGTGCATGACTAACTAATGGCGACCGCACATAATTTATGCATCATTTTTGTCGAATTTGCGCCATCCGACTGTGATGGTACGTTCCATGGAGGAAGATGGTTGGGGGGGGAAGGGGGGGGGGGGGGGGAAGGGGGGGGGGGAAGGGGGGGCGTTCGGAGGCCTCGATTATTCTAGATGGTGTCAGTTCAGTCCGGTTTGCATCGGTTAGGTTGGGATTACCGTAAAACCAGTTCTACGACAATGACGTCGTGATTGAACACGAATACCTCTAAGGGATTATGGGCGAAGAGATGAAGCTATGTGGTGACACTTTTTTTCCCCAGCTTGACGGCTCCGTTAGAAATAAATTAATTAATGTTCGTTTTCCCCACCTCTCAAGCGAACCACTGTAGTCGGTCCACGTGTCCTTTTCAAAATTTATTTTTTCTGTCGCTTTCACCTTTGTAATGTGACTTGGTGCTCTACCAAGTCCCATTACGCTTAGAGCTTAAAAAGCTCAAAGCGTACCTTATTTTTTTATGTTTGTTTCGAAATTTATGTTTTGAAATTTTTATCAACTGATTGGCTTCGTAGAGAGAGTAAGATGCATGGGACACGCGCGGCCCTGCATTTGTAGAGCTGTCAGGGACTTCAGAGGCGTGACTTCGCTCTTCAGCCCGATAGAGAACGTGTTTCGTCACAACTTGTCCACTCCAAAACCAATTTGGGCAGAGCCAAATATGCTGTTGTCTAATTAGGCGATTAGCTGCAGACAGTTCAAAGATCCACGGCCGGTCACGTGTCAATTTTCCTGCTAAATTTAGCGGCTAAACTGAATTTGTCTGTAGGTCACGTGACATCAAGGTACATGACGCCATTTTTCCCGCTAAATCTGGGGGGGGGGGGGAAGCTTAATTGGTCCAGAGGTAACGTGACGTTAATTTTCTCACTAAATCTAGCGGGGAAACTGTATCTAAGTATAGGTCACGTGACATGAAGTCACGTGACGTCACTTTCCACGCTAAATCTAGCGGGGAAAATAAACGGTCAGAAACAAACCTCTGATCCCCCTGAAGATCCTAAGAAAGCCAATCGCTTTAATAATCGCTTTAAAAATATGAAGCGTTCGCTTTCCCGTAAAAATACTTAGCAGGGCCAATCACTGCAATATACAGATTTAGTTCGGCGATTGTCGACGCTGCACCCCCATGTTTAGATCTGAAAAACAAAACAGTCTGCGGTATAACAGTGTGCATCGTGTAACATCATGCTCAGTTCCACTGCGCAGTGCTTTCTTGGGTCTGAACACATGTCAGGCTTGTCTCCCTCCGTCGATCGCAGTGATTGGCTCTCCCCGTGTTTTTGCCGGGAAAGTTGACGGTTCAGATTTATCCGAGACTGCGAGATCGGACGTCGTCGTTGTCGCCATTCGTAAAGCACTCCTTCTGTGTGTGCGTGTGTATGTTCGCTGCAGGGCTGCTGAAGCTGCAGCACCTGTTCCAGCTGACGACGGACCGGTACCACCTGGAGGTGAGGGTGGTGCGTCGGGTGCGCAACGCCAGCGACGTGAACGGCTACCTGCGCCGCCTGGAGGACCGAGACCGAGAGTCGCGCAAGTACGTGGTGCTCGACTGCACCGCCGAGACCACCCGCGAGATCATCATCAACCACGTCCGGGACCCCTTCATGGGCCGGAGGAACTACCACTTCCTGCTCACTAGCCTCGTGAGTGTCTCGGAGGGGGCAGCGCCTCGCCCGTTACCGAAAAGTAGCAACGGAAGAGAGCTATGCGGAGCCCAAGGTCGTCTGCTTCTTGCAGAGGGATTGTGGTGACGCCAGCAGAATGCCGAGCGCTGATTGGCTCCGGTTGGGAGGATAGTGGGTAGACCTCAAGGCAGCTATCATCGAAGTCTACCCACTATCCTTCTAACCAAATCCAATCAGAGCTCGCCGTTCTGCTGACGTCACCGCAACCCCAGCGCTAGAAGCAGACGAACGTGCCCTCCGCGAAGGACCGCTCACACACTCGCGTTTGCTCAGGACCGAGTTCTTGCGATCTCCTGTGACGAGGAAACACGCTGGCACGCTAGGGCCATCTATGAGGCGACCCCGCAAGCTACATTTCAAGAGAGCGAACGTTAAGCGGTATTTTCGAGATCAAACGTACGTTCTATCTATGACAAATTGTCGTTTATAACGTCGTCAAAAAAATCAAGCTGAGAAAAAAAGATAGATGCGCCAAAAAAGTAGGAAATATCTGGAACAGATGTCGCCAATGTGATTTCTTGTACAAAATTTAAATGGTTCTAAGGCACACGGCTGAAAGTAGTCCCAATCGTGTGAACCACAGCCTCTACTCGTCATTCGCTGTCACCCTGATCATACATCTTACAAAAGACACGGTGTTCGTTGCGGCCATGTGATGACAAAATGATCTGCGGAGCCGCCTAAAGCATGATTGAAGGCTTCATTCCTATACCTGCTTCGAACGTCTTTAGAGGTAGTTTTGGCGTGACCAATGTTACAGGATCGTCATATACAGAGAAGAAACACGCCTCAGACGATGTCTGCAGACTGTCTTTTGTATAATATATAGGGGAGTTTTAGGGAACCGTGTTTGCACATCCGATACTGTACGATATATTAGGGAGTTTTAGGGAACCGTGTTTGCACATCCGATACGGTACGGTATATTAGGGAGTTTTAGGGAACCGTGTTTGCACATCCGATACGGTACGGTATATTAGGGAGTTTTAGGGAACCGTGTTTGCACATCCGATACGATACGGTATATTAGGGAGTTTTAGGGAACCGTGTTTGCACATCCGATACGATACGGTATATTAGGGAGTTTTAGGGAACCGTGTTTGCACATCCGATACGGTACGGTATATTAGGGAGTTTTAGGGAACCGTGTTTGCACATCCGATACGGTACGGTATATTAGGGAGTTTTAGGGAACCGTGTTTGCACATCCGATACGATACGGTATATTAGGGAGTTTTAGGGAACCGTGTTTGCACATCCGATACGGTACGGTATATTAGGGAGTTTTAGGGAACCGTGTTTGCACATCCGATACGGTACGGTATATTAGGGAGTTTTAGGGAACCGTGTTTGCACATCCGATACGATACGGTATATTAGGGAGTTTTAGGGAACCGTGTTTGCACATCCGATACGATACGGTATATTAGGGAGTTTTAGGGAACCGTGTTTGCACATCCGATACGATACGGTATATTAGGGAGTTTTAGGGAACCGTGTTTGCACATCCGATACGGTACGGTATATTAGGGAGTTTTAGGGAACCGTGTTTGCACATCCGATACGGTACGGTATATTAGGGAGTTTTAGGGAACCGTGTTTGCACATCCGATACGGTACGGTATATTACGGAGTTTTAGGGAACCGTGTTTGCACATCCGATACGATACGGTATATTAGGGAGTTTTAGGGAACCGTGTTTGCACATCCGAAACGATACGGTATATTAGGGAGTTTTAGGGAACCGTGTTTGCACATCCGATACGGTACGGTATATTAGGGAGTTTTATGGAACCGTGTTTGCACATCCGATACGGTACGGTATATTAGGGAGTTTTAGGGAACCGTGTTTGCACATCCGATACGATACGGTATATTAGGGAGTTTTAGGGAACCGTGTTTGCACATCCGATACGGTACGGTATATTAGGGAGTTTTAGGGAACCGTGTTTACACATCCGATACGGTACGGTATATTAGGGAGTTTTAGGGAACCGTGTTTGCACATCCGATACGATACGGTATATTAGGGAGTTTTAGGGAACCGTGTTTGCACATCCGATACGGTACGGTATATTAGGGAGTTTTAGGGAACCGTGTTTGCACATCCGATACGGTACGGTATATTAGGGAGTTTTAGGGAACCGTGTTTGCACATCCGATACGGTACGGTATATTAGGGAGTTTTAGGGAACCGTGTTTGCACATCCGATACGGTACGGTATATTAGGGAGTTCTAGGGAACCGTGTTTGCACATCCGATACGATACGGTATATTAGGGAGTTTTAGGGAACCGTGTTTGCACATCCGATACGATACGGTATATTAGGGAGTTTTAGGGAACCGTGTTTGCGCATCCGATACGGTACGGTATATTAGGGAGTTTTAGGGAACCGTGTTTGCACATCCGATACGGTACGGTATATTAGGGAGTTTTAGGGAACCGTGTTTGCACATCCGATACGGTACGGTATATTAGGGAGTTTTAGGGAACCGTGTTTGCACATCCGATACGATACGGTATATTAGGGAGTTTTAGGGAACTGTGTTTGCACATCCGATACGATACGGTATATTAGGGAGTTTTAGGGAACCGTGTTTGCACATCCGATACGGTACGGTATATTAGGGAGTTTTAGGGAACCGTGTTTGCACATCCGATACGGTACGGTATATTACGGAGTTTTAGGGAACCGTGTTTGCACATCCGATACGGTACGGTATATTACGGAGTTTTAGGGAACCGTGTTTGCACATCCGATACGATACGGTATATTAGGGAGTTTTAGGGAACCGTGTTTGCATATCCGATACGATACGGTATATTAGGGAGTTTTAGGGAACCGTGTTTGCACATCCGATACGGTACGGTATATTAGGGAGTTTTAGGGAACCGTGTTTGCACATCCGATACGGTACGGTATATTAGGGAGTTTTAGGGAACCGTGTTTGCACATCCGATACGATACGGTATATTAGGGAGTTTTAGGGAACCGTGTTTGCACATCCGATACGGTACGGTATATTAGGGAGTTTTAGGGAACCGTGTTTGCACATCCGATACGGTACGGTATATTTGGGAGTTTTAGGGAACCGTGTTTGCACATCCGATACGATACGGTATATTAGGGAGTTTTAGGGAACCGTGTTTGCACATCCGATACGGTACGGTATATTAGGGAGTTTTAGGGAACCGTGTTTGCACATCCGATACGGTACGGTATATTAGGGAGTTTTAGGGAACCGTGTTTGCACATCCGATACGGTACGGTATATTAGGGAGTTTTAGGGAACCGTGTTTGCACATCCGATACGGTACGGTATATTAGGGAGTTTTAGGGAACCGTGTTTGCACATCCGATACGATACGGTATATTAGGGAGTTTTAGGGAACCGTGTTTGCACATCCGATACGGTACGGTATATTAGGGAGTTTTAGGGAACCGTGTTTGCACATCCGATACGGTACGGTATATTAGGGAGTTTTAGGGAACCGTGTTTGCACATCCGATACGATACGGTATATTAGGGAGTTTTAGGGAACCGTGTTTGCACATCCGATACGATACGGTATATTAGGGAGTTTTAGGGAACCGTGTTTGCACATCCGATACGATACGGTATATTAGGGAGTTTTAGGGAACCGTGTTTGCACATCCGATACGGTACGGTATATTAGGGAGTTTTAGGGAACCGTGTTTGCACATCCGATACGGTACGGTATATTAGGGAGTTTTAGGGAACCGTGTTTGCACATCCGATACGATACGGTATATTAGGGAGTTTTAGGGAACCGTGTTTGCACATCCGATACGATACGGTATATTAGGGAGTTTTAGGGAACCGTGTTTGCACATCCGATACGATACGGTATATTAGGGAGTTTTAGGGAACCGTGTTTGCACATCCGATACTGTACGGTATATTAGGGAGTTTTAGGGAACCGTGTTTGCACATCCGATACGGTACGGTATATTAGGGAGTTTTAGGGAACCGTGTTTGCACATCCGATACGATACGGTATATTAGGGAGTTTTAGGGAACCGTGTTTGCACATCCGATACGGTACGGTATATTAGGGAGTTTTAGGGAACCGTGTTTGCACATCCGATACGGTACGGTATATTAGGGAGTTTTAGGGAACCGTGTTTGCACATCCGATACGATACGGTATATTAGGGAGTTTTAAGGAACCGTGTTTGCACATCCGATACGGTACGGTATATTAGGGAGTTTTAGGGAACCGTGTTTGCACATCCGATACGATACGGTATATTAGGGAGTTTTAGGGAACCGTGTTTGCACATCCGATACGATACGGTATATTAGGGAGTTTTAGGGAACCGTGTTTGCACATCCGATACGGTACGGTATATTACGGAGTTTTAGGGAACCGTGTTTGCACATCCGATACGGTACGGTATATTAGGGAGTTTTAGGGAACCGTGTTTGCACATCCGATACGATACGGTATATTAGGGAGTTTTAGGGAACCGTGTTTGCACATCCGATACGATACGGTATATTAGGGAGTTTTAGGGAACCGTGTTTGCACATCCGATACGATACGGTATATTAGGGAGTTTTAGGGAACCGTGTTTGCACATCCGATACGATACGGTATATTAGGGAGTTTTAGGGAACCGTGTTTGCACATCCGATACGGTACGGTATATTAGGGAGTTTTAGGGAAGTGTGTTTGCACATCCGATACGGTACGGTATATTAGGGAGTTTTAGGGAACCGTGTTTGCACATCCGATACGGTACGGTATATTAGGGAGTTTTAGGGAACCGTGTTTGCACATCCGATACGATACGGTATATTAGGGAGTTTTAGGGAACCGTGTTTGCACATCCGATACGGTACGGTATATTAGGGAGTTTTAGGGAACCGTGTTTGCACATCCGATACGGTACGGTATATTAGGGAGTTTTAGGGAACCGTGTTTGCACATCCGATACGGTACGGTATATTAGGGAGTTTTAGGGAACCGTGTTTGCACATCCGATACGATACGGTATATTAGGGAGTTTTAGGGAACCGTGTTTGCACATCCGATACGGTACGGTATATTAGGGAGTTTTAGGGAACCGTGTTTGCACATCCGATACGATACGGTATATTAGGGAGTTTTAGGGAACCGTGTTTGCACATCCGATACGGTACGATAACATAGGTTGCCTGCAGAGCTGCTACCTATGCCATCGGTAATTCTTAATGAAAAGAAACGAGTTAGAGGTGAATTTTAGCCTATTTTCGTACAGTGAATTTGAATATGACAAGCATTTGACCCGAACGACGCGAGAACAACCGAAAAACAAACCGCCAGGTCTGATGTCATACCCGGATGTCTCTGCTGCCTTGCGCGTGACGCTTGTGAGGGAACACGTGCATCGCTTTTCACCGCTCTGTTGAGACTTGTGGAAAGCGCGGAAATGTTGAAGATCTCTGCAAATATCTCAGTATAATACGTCACGATTCCCTCCTCGCACCGAACGCGACGAGAAAGAGTGGCTTCGGCGCTATTTTTAAAGCGCTGTTAAAGCTACCCAACCCAACCCCAATCTGAAATATAATTTAGATATTCGTGTTTTCTCGAAGTATAGCACTATTGGCGACGAGTTGTCTTGGTGGAATCCTCGTATGGTTCCTATGCCTGACGTCATGACTGATATTATTAGTGACGAGCGACAGCTTTGAGGATGCGTAAAAAGCGCACTGGAAGCCTAGCAATCACGCTCCTCAATCAACGTCATCCGGGGTGACAGTCTGGCATTGCTCTTATTTACGTCGACGAGAGCAGAAATCATCCTAGTCAAGACGTCATTGTGATCGTTTGGCCAATCGTAGATGGCCGATTACGGCGATGCTTCTGGTCGTGCATGTCGCCCATATCGTACAGTCGCCAACATTCTAAAAGACCCACTCGATAAGGCAGTTCTTGGTGGCCCCGGTGGATCCCCTTTGGCCAGGCCGATATTGCTTAGGGTGAAGAAATAAGAGAACCTTTCTCGCGTATTTTCTCTAAAAATAAAGTGCCTCTGACTAATGTGTGCCGAGCACTGCCACATGAAATTCTTTTGAAAGTGGGCCTTTCGTATTGCGCAAGACTGTAGTTTTACGCTTCGTGACTGGTTCTTGTCGCTTAGTAACGTCTGAGGCTGAAATCGCATTGGCTCTCCTGTGATCGTAAGGCAAAAGAGTTTGTCCGCGCCCTTTCGTTCTAGTTTAGGAACTCAAATCTAACTATTAAGTAACGACCAGTTCCGAAACTCTCTCATCTCGAAATAAATCCGAGCTTTTTTTGACCATATAGTGGTGCGTGCCTATTAAGATTGGCGTTAAGGGGTGCAACGTTGTCGGGTGACCGATCTTTGTCGCAGATCATGGACGAGTTCCAGAACAACCCGAGCCTGGAGTTCGGCGCCGTGAACATCACGGGCTTTCGACTGGTCCAGAACAGCACGCTTCCCTACAAGGAAGTGTTCACGGAACGCATCTCCAGGATCCCCTGGCCGGACCCCAAAAAGAAGCGAATTTCGGTAAGCTCCACTTTCTAGTCTACCCCCCCCCCCCCCCCGAAAAAAAAAAGCAGGTTTAAGAAGATGAATATTCGGAACGCCGAAAAATATTTGCACGTTATTTGATTGAAAGGCTTGTCTCTAAAGAAACAGGTGCCTAAAAAAATTGAACGTTTAGAAGAGAAGAGAATCAGTACAGCTTTAAAAATGTAAAAGTACGGCTAAAATGACGCAGTGCAGACCAACTCCACTTTCTGACGTCACGCCATTGCGGTGGCGCTGCTGTCGGCTCTGCGCATGCGCAGATGCTTCGCCTCGGGCACATCTGGTCTCTGCACACGCGCACTGCCCACTCCCGGTGTAGGCTAACGCTGGATTGTTTATAAACGCTGTGTTGGTCAGGAAATACTAAAAGACGACGATCAAAAAAATAATAAACCAAAGACTGGTTTGCGTATTTGCGTTTGAGCGCGACCGAGAGCGTTGCGTCCACTTGCGAGGACCGCTTCCGAAGAGAGACAACACACTAGCATCGTCTTTCGGGTGTCACTGGAAAACTTGCGATCTCCGTATATATATTATATATTTCTTTTATTACTTTTTTTAAGGGCTCGAGGTAATTTTGACAATGTCATAAGTAACCATATTTTATAGCAGAGCGCATAGATTTCGTTCCGTAAGTACTGCCAAAGCTTCAGTCTGGTTATTCGCCGATCGGGAGGATTTCGGGCTTACTCGAGAGATGGCGCCACCTTGCCAGTGTGTTGTTTTCTCTAGCGTTCTCTCGCATTAAGCGGCCACAAGTGTTTGCAGCCCGGTCAATCATGCACTCAGACGCAAATGCGTGAGTCAGCTTTTCATCCATTTGTTTTGAGTGTCTACACACAGCTGATGCCTCCTTAGTGGTGCACTTGCACACTAGTACTCTTGAGCTAATATAAAGGCATTATAAACATGAATAGAAAACACTCTAGCGGGCACGTTGCCAAAAATAAAATGTACCGCCTGCCCCTACTTTAAAGCAACCTGAAGCGCTGCTGTATTTGATAAAGATCAATTAAATCGTCTTCTTTTGGCTTCCAAATTGGCAAATATCAAAATTATATTTGGGATTGATGCGGCCAAGTAGCCACTACAGCGCTTCCAAAGTAGCGCCGAAGCCCCTCCTTCCCGTCACGTTCGTTGCGAGGGGGGAATTATGACGCATTCTACGGAGACCTCAACATTTCCGTGCTTTCTTCAAGCTTGAATTGGTGTTTTCTTGCTGATATTGTCGCATTGCAACAACTCCCTGGCCTCATCGAGGTGTCTAGCTAGGGAGGCCTTTACGATGTATATATTTAAAATAATATTTGAAACTTGAAAGCAAAAATGCATACATATAGGAAAGTAATTATTGACTTTCTTGGTATGTCAGTGAAAGAGGAATGACACCTTCAAAGGTTACCCAAGGAAACAGCCCTGGAATTTTGTAATATCAGTGGTCATAATCCACCGCTTTACTGTAAAAGAAAAAAAAAACTCATGTTAAATTTTGACCTTTATTTTCTCTCCTTTTATGGCACTCTCTTTTCGTTTATTTTTAATTCAATTTGTTCTTTCTCTCTTAATGCGGAGATTATAATTTTTGTTCGCAAAACGCGAGGAGTGCTCAGTTTTCTAATCAACCGTCGAATTTGTTCAGGCGGGGTTTCTCGCCCTCCTTTTCAAACTGAGCGATCAATCTAATCCGGCAAACAGGGTGGTTTATGATTGAAGGAATGTTTGGCTTTGTTAGGAAGCGGACTAGAATAAAGCCGCTGCGCTGGGATTTCAATTTAATGCGTTTGAAGCTATTGCTGGAACTTCTGTTGGGTTGAACGCTGATTGATGCGGGTCCCTTTCAAGTCTTAATTATGGGTTCCCATCGAGTAGAAAAAATCGCGCGTTAAATTTAAAATCGCAAATTTCTAGCTGCACTGGACTAGTCGCAACAATTGTTATTATACAAATATATGTAGAAACGTATCAGAACAGTTCATTTCCCTGTGACTTGTTCTTAAAGCATGAAAGTCTCTTTAGCGCTAACCCCCAATCCCAAAATTTCGGAAGTCCGTTCGTGATTTCTCTGCTAAATTTAGCGGGGAAATTGATGACCCCTGACGTGACCTATACTCGATTTCAGAATTTGCCCGCTGACTTTAGCTGGAAATTTGATGTCACGTCACCTGTCGTCACGAGACAAGCATACCAAATTAGTTTACCCGCTAAATTTAGCGGAAAAATTGACGTCGCATGACCTATACAGCAATTCAGTTTCCTCGATACATTTGGCAGGAAAATTGATGTCACTTGACCTAAAGTCACGTGACATTTACTTTTTTATATGCATATATAAATACCACGTGACCTATTCTAGAAAACACTGTATATAGTCTTCGTCACAAATTAAAATGATCCCTTGTTAAATACTGCATTTTCTTCATTATATGTAGGATTTCGAGTTATCGGAGTTCATTTCTGGTTAGCTTCTGAGGGCGTTTTCCGGTCTTTTTTTTTTTTCGATGAAAATTCGGGGTTTATTGGAGTTTATTTTTCTGAGAGTTCCAATTCTCCGAAATTCGAAACTCCATTTTACACTTTTTTTATTTTTATTTTTTTTTAATAAAAGTAATATCCGGGCAAAAACGTACACAAAATTCATAAAACGAATCACCGGTATTGAAAGATATTGTTGCAGCTGCATTTGACATTGGCGTCTTTGCGACTGACAGTGCTAACTTTCCCAAGACAAATCTTGAAAACGAGTGTTACTTCAATAAGCGTCGGTACTTTCCAAACTCCTGGACGCATAAAACCTTCAGCTGCCCTCCCCATCGTATGAAACGCAAACGTTCGAATTTTTCACTGTTATAAAAACACCCCCCCCCCCCCCACCCCATCTTATCCCTCTAAGTAAAACAAATTGTATGGTCAAAACTGAAAACCAGGACAATAGTTTTCTTTTTTGTTGTTGTTGTTGTTTTTTTTGTTTGTCGTGGTAGAAGTATACTTACATTGGTACTGAACGAACCTTGGCGACATAAACAAAATCTCTTTGTTAATAGTATAAGATAAAAGTAAAAAAATTAGTTAGCCTTTTTTAGGACCACTAGCCCTGTGCTCCGACAAACTTTATTTGTAAACAGAATCTCTTTTTTTTTTTGCTTTTTATTTTGCCATTGTGACCTCGAAATTTTTGAGTTTTTTGAATAAATCCAAATTGTAAAAAATTTTACCGGCCTGTGTTTTCCGAAGTTTACCAGATTTATCGGAAAACAAGAAGCCCTTATTGTAGGATTTCGAAGAGAACGGTCGCTGTCATTTTTTTTTTTTTTTTATCAAAACCATACGCCGTCTTAAATTCACTTCTCAACATAGTCACCGCAAGACTAAAGTCGAAAACTGCTTCTGCACCCATGTTCTAATATTTCCGACATTTGTTCGATTTGGTAAAAAAAGAATTATTTGAGTGTCGGAGCTTCTTTTGCACCCACCATGCATGACGAAAGATTCCTTCGTGCAAACCACTCGTTCATACCCGTTGTGAGCGAGTAGGCCTTCCAGTACTCTACCAGTTGAATGCTACCATTAAGGTAGCAATTTTGGCCAGTGGGTTTATGATCACCTAAAGAAGCGCAAAAAATACAAGGACGAGGAAGTAAACAGACAAGAGGCACTCGCAACTGATTTTTATTGGTGGTGGTGACTCGTTGAGGCTTTACGTCGCCTAGGTTGTCTAAGCGTCGCCTAGGTTGCCTAGGCGTCGCCTAGGCGGAAACACGCCGCGGCGACGAAAGCCACTCCGTCGGGACATCTTGCCACTCACTAGTTCTTGCCCACATGCCGCGCCATTTGGCGACACCAGGTTTCTGGCTGGATACCCGGATAGGGTTTCTAGAGGACTGCTTGAGGCCTTCGAAATTCAGGCAAAGAACAAAAAACGCGTAAGTGACACGTCCTTTCCTTATTGGGGAGTCAGTATTCCTTCTTTTTGCGAGGGTTAAACATATCTTAGGAGAGATTGTGTGTTAGTTCGAAGCTATATATATGATTGTTTTCACAAATAAAAACCAGTTGAAAGTGCGCTCTTGTCTGTTTACTTACTCGTCCTTGTATTTTTTGCGCTTCTTTAGGTGGGAATGCTAACAGTCCAATGCAATAGATTCTTTTACGAGTTGTAAACACGTAATTATTAACTTCCTCGATCACTCATGCGCATACTGTCTCACTCACTCACACTCATTTACACCCACTCGAACTCGTTGACGTTCGACCACGCCCACCGAAACTTACTCGACGTCACTCACTTCCACTCAATCAAATTCTCTTACTTCTTGACATCCACTTTCTCACACACTTATACATTCGCTCACTCACTAGCTTGCTCCTGTCACTTTCTCACTAAAGGCCCGTTCACACTCTTGCAACCGAGTGCGACCGAGAGAGACCAAACCGGTTTTTAAGCCTTTTGCGATCTCTTAGGACCAGCTCGGCTCAGTGCATCCGGTTCCAAGAAGTCTTTCTCGGTCGTACTCGGTTGCAAGAGTGTGAACGCGCCTTAACTCACCCATTGGTAGGCACTTGTACTCACCGACACTGAAACATACTAATTGAAACTTTCTCGTTCACACTCGCTTAAGCTCACACACACGCATGCTGCTGGCTCACTCACATACTCTCTCACTAACTACCAGACTCACTGACACTCACTCATTTGAAGGCGCTCTCTCATTCACTTTACTTTGTATCACCGTAAAAATTACCTTTGTCGTGACTCAGGGGCAACACCGAAGCCCAATTCACATGGTGTGATTCTGCTTGCGGATTCTGAACTCCGGCGTCGGGCAAGAGGCCAACTTCCCCCAGTCCTTTGTTTGTTTGTTTTGCCGTAAGAGTGACGTCGCAACTGCGAAATCGCAAGTAAAATCCCAACCTGCGAATCAGACTTAACACGGGCGCACCAAGTGAAGCCGCGATGTCACGGCTCGCACTGCGCAGCTTGCATTAATCTCTGACAACCCGAGCGAATAAACACGACGACCACCGTGACGTCACACACACTCGGCGCTGTTTGATTGGTCCCCTCGAAAAAAAAAATTGGGTTGTGTGTGTGTTTATACAGCCTAGAACTCGGTCTGCCTCAACGGGCGACGAGTCTCCCAGCTCACTCTCTCGCTCTTTTATTCCCTCATCCACAAACTTACTCACTTACCTGCGCACGCACACTCACCCGCTCGACAAACCAATCAATCAATCAATCGCAGGCTGATGCGGCGTTGATGTACGACGGTGCCAAGGTGCTGCTGAACGCGTTTAAGCGGCTGCTGAAGGACTACCCGACCATCTTCAGCAAGAACTTTCGCCGCGGCGAGGTGTACAACAACAACACCAGAGGCATCGACTGTCGTAGGGACCGGGTCATGCCCTGGGAGCACGGAGAGGAGATTGCCAAGCGGATACGCACGGTGCGTAACACTCCCTTAAAGGCCCACGACCAGACTCGAGACTCTGCAAGGCAGAAGATCCTCCTCACCCTGGGGGAGGAGGAAACAGGCACCGGTGGACAGGGTAGAAGGGGGGAGAGGAGGAAGCGGGAGAAAAGTGGAAAGCGCGAACTGATCGTCGGCCTTTAACTTCTTTTTTTTTTTTTTTTTTAGGCGCGCAATATTTTTTTTGTTTTAGTTGTTTTAACATTTAATGTAAAAAATCGTTTCTAAAAAGTGTTTCGGAAATAGCGGCTGCCTCAGAATTGGCCATCTGCTAAGTTGATCTCGCCTTTCAGTACAGCCGCGTTCTGAGGTCTTGTCAAGGTCACGCTTTCACGCCTCTACCTCCAGCTCCACCGCTTGCAGTACTGAAAAAAAAAAAAAAATCGCAATATATTGGTGTCGATTTTATTAGACATGTTTCATGCGCTCGGCCTAACTGGGTGTCCGAGAAAAGGCAGCTTCGTAATAGATTACTTTTACGTAGCGGCCTTACACGTCAGTCTAATAAAAGCCCGTAAGGCAAGTTTCCCTCACTTGTCCTTGGGGAGCTATTCACTGCGATCTGCGCAGAGAGCTCAGCCAATTACGAGGTTTCTAATAGGCTCAGACCTAAAAGTGATGACTGCGATGTCACATTCATCTTGGCGTTTAACAGGCTCACGTCATTCTCATTCACGTGATGCAGACTTCACTTTCAGGCTTCGGTATATTTCCTTCCTCGTCATACGCCGTAATATCTCTCCATAAATCGAAGTAATTCGGTATCTGAGTGTTTCGAGGAAAATTATTACTACTAAGCCTTTTAAGTCTCGGTAGTATGTTTATAGTAGTATGTAATATAGTTTTTATGTCACTTTTAGGTTATGTGATTCTTATTTATTGTACAATATACAATTTACAAGACATGAGAATTCAATTCTTGGACAATGTTTTCGTTTGGTTCGAGCCCCATTGAAGCGATTCTGTTGTGCGAGAATGCAACGATCGACGTAGTAAAATAACAATGGGATTAAAACTTTTGACGATAATAATGTGAAATTACCACATTCGTAAGCCCGCTCGTGTTTCGCTTCAACTGGCCCACAGTTCGCAATTTTCTTTTTTTTTTTTTTTTTAGAAAAAAAACACATATTGTTGGCAATGCATTCAACTATAGAATAATACCCATGATGTCGTAGTGCCCTCCAGTCAGTCCCGAACGAGCGATATTCTCATTCACGTTGTCGCTCTTGTGCCATCGTTAGCGCTGCGACCCAAACTTGCTCGAATTAAGCGCGCAAGTAACGAACACCTTCGCCACCTTTCCTCTTTTCCGCTGTCCCGGATACGCAGGCCAAAATGAAAGGGCTCACCGGAAATATCAGCTTCGACGAACGAGGCTTCAGAATCAACTTCACCATCGACGTCGTCGAAATGACCATAAACAGCGAGATGGTCAAGGTGAGTGGCGCCTGCAGTGTATTCCATACAACGATCTTTCGTTTAGCGCGCCTCATTTGAACGCGATTTCTTGGCCAGAACCTGCCTATAACATCTCTTCAGTTCCGGACGACTTAAAAAAAAAAGAGGTCACGGCATATTACCTTTACGCGTGTTGCATCGTCATTGGTAATACTTGGTGTTCTTGACCATAGCCTCCTCTATACTCAAAAAAGCCTGGCAGTTCGACGACGGAGCCATAAAGTGCCGGTCGCGGATTTGAGCGAGGGGATCTGGTAGCGCAGTGCATCAAAGAGCCATTTCTTGGGGAACCTTGACGTCACCGCACAGCTTTTGCAGCGGCGAGGACCCAAAACACACTTGTTCGCTCGGGAGAAGTGGGCTTCGGCGTCTCGCCGCTGCGGGGCGCCAGTTACGTGGCTCACCTCTCATCCGTTGCCTGCCGCTCCTCCTTTTCCATTTCGGCGGCTGCTTCTCGTGGCGATCTGCCAGGCTTTGTCAGTATATTGGAGGCTATGTCCTGACGCCTAATTACGTAAACTTATTGTCTGCAATGTAAAATTAAGACGTACGGAACTCGCACACCCCGCATTTCTTGAATTGTTAGCGACTGTGACATCATTTCATTTTGGACCGCTCTTTTTGTCGGCTCGTATGTCGATATCGATGGAATGAAGCAAATTTGAGCAACTCAGTTTTGAATAGCAGGCTTCTGCGAGTTCCAGTTGTCCCGACTAAAACAAAGCGTTGCGCTTGGTTAGTTATCACTTTCGCTGCTTCCACTTTGCTTTCAGATAGCTGAGTGGTCCGACGTCAAGGGGCTGGAACTGTCGTCGCCTAAGTACCGTCGTGTCTATCAGGACACGGGGTTCGAGAACAACAAGACGTACGTGGTCACAAGTATCCTGGTAAGGCTGATGTTCTCCTTAAAGAATCGCCTGAATGTTGGTTATATTCGAATAATATTTCTATAATCACTGACAGTGATTATATAGGTCATGTGCTATCATGTTCGCGCTTTTTACTCCTTGGTTTGTTCTTTGGCGTTTGTATCACCTGATGTCGCTATCTCCTCGGTTGCACGCCCTTCGTATCGATACGTTATATACGTTAAACTAATGCTCTCGGACAAAAAAAAGAAAGCCGATGACTTTTACTTAATGTCAGGTACAAAGAAAAGTAGGTGGGCGCTGTACTAATTTTTTCCCATAAATTATATAGAATATTTAAAGTGGTAAATTAGACTGGTATGTTACTTACGAAGTACTTTCACGGTGTTATAAGCTATTGAAAAATTGGCGTGATCGCTTTCACGTCAATTTGTTCATATACGCTCCTGAGCTTAACCGCTTATTCATATAGTTAGGTATGTATTTTAATCTTGAACCCGAGATTCCAACATGGTCATCATAAACATTGCTACCCTAAATACTCGTTATAGAGAGGAGAGATTAGGCAAGCTAATTGCTGAACGTTCAACTATGGGTTAGGTATTTTGAAAAGAAATTTGGGTTCTCACAAAACATTTATCGCATGCATCGTAAAACAACTCTGTTTGTTTTTTTTCGCAGTGGATAGTGTTAATTATTTCGTCTAAACACCTTGAAAGAGTCGACAATTTTCTGTTAATAAGCCCCACATATTTCCTGTAAGTTTTGCCGAAAATTTGGTTCAGTTAGAACATCAATTGTGATTAGTTTAGGTTAAGCATGCAGAGATTAGTTTAGGTTTGGTTAATTTAGGTCCGGCTGTGCAAGGTTAGGTTAAGCAGGTTAATTTATGCCATGTTAGCTTAGGTTAGGTTAGGTTAAGTCAAGTCAGTTTAGGGGATGGTAAGTGAGGTTAGTGCCAAAGTTAAAATATTTAGTATTTTAAATAGGAAGAAACGAAGAATTTGCTTTTCGACGACTCCCAGCGTTCCGGTGTGCGTTTCTGGTCCAGGAAGAGCCCTACCTGATGTTCAAGAAGGCCGAGCCGGGCCAGACGTTGACGGGCAACGACGTGTTCGAAGGCTACTGCAAGGACCTGGCCGACCTGGTGGCGGAGCACCTCAAGTTCAACTACACGCTCAAGCTGGTCAACGACTCCAAGTACGGAGGCCAGGACGCCAACTCGCAGGCCGGCTGGAACGGCATGGTCGGAGAGCTCATCCGACAGGTACGATCTTTTCTTCCGCAGTAACGGTGTGCGGTCCCGAAAACCACCAAAAAGTCCAACTTCCGTTACAACTTACCACTTATTTATAATAGACCACCCCGCCATTTACGAACAAGCCCAGGTTTGCCCCCACCGGGTGTGCGGCCAATGCGCGTGCGCACAAACCAGGTTTGGGTGAGAGGAACCGTCTGCGCATGCGCAGTACCGACAGCAGCGCCACCGCAGTGGCGTGACGTTAATGTATAAATAAAGTTCCCTGCCTTTATTTTATTTAACGTTTTTCTTTGTTTTTTGTTTTTTTTTCAAATGTTCGTTCGTCCGTTCGTTTGTTGATTTTCCGCTAAATTTAGCGGGAAAATTGACGTCACGTCACCTGCCGTCCCTTGACCTAAAAGACATTTCATTTCCCTCAAATTTTAGAAGGAAAGTTGACGTCGCGTGACTCTTTTACCAAGCCAGTTCCCCCGCTAAATTTAGCGGAAGAAAAGAATTATTAGGGATTTCTCGTACACGGTTTTCGCTGGCCCGCATCGCTCTCCGCAACCTGCTACGATACCCGTAACTCTATAGTTAAAGGGGCACTGAAGCCATTTTTGAAAAAGGTAATTTTTTTCTTATTTTATATTGTTTAAAATGTGTTTGTTCCCACATATGCCAAGTCCTATATAACAAGACCGCCTATTCATCTCAGGGCAATAGAAAACATGTGGACTATTTTCTCTCGCGGACTACATTGTCTGTACCAATGGAAGCCCTACCATACGCGCAGGTTCCGAATGATTTTATTATATCTTGTTTTGAAGAGGGTCTGATATGTACACATTCGGATAAGACTCCTCTTTTTCTCCGCGTGCGAAGGCATCGCTTGTTACTCGCCGACGAGCGCACTTTGTCGACCACTTCACTAGGAAGAAAATTCTTCCCAAAACGGTCATGTCGCGATCTTTGAACACGCTTTTCACGAGGAAATAATGGACGCACGGTTGCTGTTTTGGGTTTGTTCGGAAGCTTAGAGCGCCTGGATTGAGTTGTCGCCACAAAAGAACGATCTCAAAATCGACTTCAGTGCCTCTTTAAGGCCATCGGCGCGCAGGCACAGTAGCGGCTTCTTCGTTGCGGAGGGCATAGCCGAGGGGGAAACGCGGTCTACGAAAACTCCCTTATAAAATATAGCTTTTTTTTCAATCCCACAAAGGATCGTTTACTGTGATCAATAAATTGTAATGATCGCACCGTAAATACTGTATTTCATGAGTTATAAGATTTCGGACTAACATCATCGCTGTAAATGTTTTTTGACGATTTGTTCATATATATATATATATATATATATATATATATATATATATATATATATATATAAAAGTTAATTAACAAATTTTAACTAATTAGCCGACGGATCGTTACGATTAGCCCCCTATACTATGTCCCCCTGGCCGTATAACTGACCTGCGCAAACCGCATTAACCTAGCTTTTATGGTTTCTTTTTAAAAATTCTGCTAAGCTTAAAAAAAAAACACCCTGTATATATATATATATATATATACATATATATATATATATATATATATATATATATATATATATATATATATATATATATATATATATATATATAATCGATTTGGGTGTGGTGTGTTTTTGTTTTGCTTTTTTGTTTGTTTTTTTGGTTGATTTTTGGTGTCGGACACAAAATACGAGCTTATCGGGGCTTCACGGAAACAAGACAGTGGCATGCCATCCAGGGAACATTGGCCTGATTCGAATACTCGGAAAGCAACCCAGTAGAGATGAGCGAAGAAAACGAGATAAAGGGTTCTTATATCAAAAACCACCCTCGCTCATGGGCTCTTCGGGGAAAATCTGTGTTTCGGTTCGGATATTATGAGAAGCTTGCGGAGCAAGTCAACAGTCAATTTCGGCACTCTGATAGGTACATTTTCATGGACGTCACATCACCACGCTTAACGGGAAAAGGGGGGGGGGGGGGACTCGCCTCTGTCGTGTATTGACGGAAGCGCACGTAAGATGTTGCCATTAATGTCTCACGTGAGCGTTTACTTGATGATGAAAGCCTGGAAACATGGACGTGACTTCACATTGATGATATTGTTTTGCTTTTACGTTCTTGCTTGAACCAATGTTTCTTCGCCTTCCGTGGAGAGATCTATCATCAGGTGAACGGGTGTCCGATGAGAAGCCAGATATCTGTCAGTGTTGCCAATCTTGTTATAGAGCATACTGAGGAGAAAGTGCTGAAAAAGTTGCGTTCCCTGTCAAATTTTACCGCCGATATGTGTATGGCAATTTCGTCATTCTAGATAGAGGTAATGCTAACGATTTTCACCGAGAATTAAACAGTGTTCACCCCCTGATAGAGTTTACGCGCGAGGCAAAAACAGCAATGCAAGTTTCCCTTTGAAAATGTATGTGCAATGAGGACAGGTGAACCGAACCACAGTATTGAAAAATTTCTTGTCCTATCACCCAGTGCAACAGAAGAAATCAGTAGTGCGATCGTTTGTACGCAGATCGATTAGTGTGCCATCTAACGGGCTCCATGGCGCAAATGAGATTGTGCATTTACAGGAAGCTTTGAAGAGTCGTCACTACCCAAAACGTCTTGTTGACGAGGTCAACAACCAAAAGGAAAAAAATGTGCAATCGTGCGAAAGAGAAAGAGATAAGAGTGTAGTATGCAACCCCTACGTCAAAGGAGTCTCCGAACCTCTCAGTCACGCTTTGCGGCCCCTTGGCCTTCGAACTGTTTGCAAGCCATACAGAACTATTAGAAATTTCGTTGCCAAGCCAAAGGACCCAACCCCGCAAACGTCCAGAGAGGGGTTATCTACAAGATCCCCTGCAGAGACTGCCCAGCGTCTTTGTCTTTGTCTTTTTGTCTTTATTTATTTGGCTCTGGAGAGCACCGTGGAAAGGCAGCAGCCCGTACCATGAAGGCCCGCGGTGCCGCGTCTAGTGAAATGATAATTTGATGAGTATATACATGCATGTCCTACATTGGTGAAACCGGACGGAGGAGAGAGACCAGACTCAAAGAGAACAAGCGTCACTCACGTACGCATTCCACGCGACGCGACTGAAACCTGAACTCTACTCCGCGACAACTTTTCTTAGGAATGCAGTGGAAGGTACAGGCCCGCGTCCCTTCTCCCATTTTGAGTGTGCGCGGGCTCTCTTCCTCTCCCCGGAAATGGGGGAGGAGGAGAGCCTGCGTACACTCAAAATGGTAGAGGGGACGCGGGCCTGTACCTTCCACTGCATTGCCAAGAAAAGTTGTCGCGGAGTATAGTGGACCATGCACGCAATCCTAGAGCACTGCACGGGCCGGAATTTCCAGGCACCGCCCGACCCGGCCAGGTAGAGGCACGGCCCGACCCGAGCCCGACAGAATGTTTAATTTTAGGCTTGGCCCAACCCGGTTTGGAAGAGACATTGCCCAGGCCCGGCCCGAGCCCGGCAGAACTTTCAGGCCCGGGGCGGACTTTCAAGCCCGGGGCGGACTCGGGCTCAGCCCGAGTCCGCCCCGGGCTTAGGCATGCCCGGGCCCGTGCAGTACTCTAGCGTTGACGAAGGGTCATTCTTTTGACTTTGCGGCCGCCACGACCTTGGCGAGGGAGGGTATAGATGGGGCCCCGAAATCTCCTAGAATCATGGTTCGTCCGCAGGGACACATGCGTGTGCAACAAAAACCGCGGCCCTCTCCACGAAGCTTATACGGACATTCCTGATCAATAGCGCTGACCTGAAGGTGAACCTTGTATTTGCTTTGTTACTATTGAAGATGCCAACCGCATGGGAGGCGAAACGTCTAAAGAATTTGTTTTTCCTGTTTTGTCAACTCGGTGCTCTTGTTTTATTTACATAAGCTTCGTAACGCAAAGGCAGGTTCACGCAGCACCATTTTCGTACGTTACATTGAAGTCGCCGAAACTTACGTCACAAATATTGAGCGCCAGGCTATTTCTTTGAACTGGTATAGTCACGCTTAATACGAAGCACAGATGTCCCGCTGAGTTGTGGCCACGGTGGAAGAAACATATTTAGGTGATGAATCTGGCCGCTCTCCCCGCTGGCAGCGAGCGATGATCGTGTTTGGAGCTAGCCCCGAACCAGAAATAGTTAGTTCCGCGCCACTGCAGAGGGCGCTAAGGTATGAGGTCGCTCCTCGGCGGCCACGGTGTCGGCAGCGTAGCGTGCTGGCCTTTTTCGCGGTGTGGTGGTGGGGTGGTGCAGTGCGGCCAGTGGCTGGCCTCGTGTTTTGCTTTGGTGCTGTGTCGATCACAGGCGCCACCATCGTGCACGAAAGTGAGCTTAACCCGAAGAAAAAGAGGGAAGAGAACACAAATTTACGGACTTTGGCGACATGGTGGCGGCGTGGCGGCGGTGAGAGACAACAAGAAGAGGTGAGCGAGAGAATGCGGGACCACCGCTGAAAGAAACAACCGGAGCGGTCGGTTTGGTTGGGATCCCATACTTTGGCGCCATCTATCCCCATGTGAGTGAAGCGCTCGGTGCGCCGAACATAATGTGGTCGCCGCGTCGGACAGAGAGTCGTCACTTAAATGTTTCTTCCACCATGGTTGTCGCTAAGCAAACGTAAGCTCTCGTAACGTAATGTAAGAAACGAAGGCCGGTTGATACACCACCGTTTGCGTACGTTGCGTTACGTTACAGAAGCCAACGTCTGTTGACGCCATAACTCACTGGGACCTTATAAGTTATACGTAACGTAAAAAAAACACGTAAGGAAACGGTGCTGTGTGAGCCAGCCTTTGTTACCAAGGAGGTCTCGAACAACACTTCCTCCTCTCTGCCAGGGACGAACGGAGCCGCCATCTTTGTTCCGAGTCCCACGCCAACCAGACACTTTCTCTCGTTGTTGTCTTTCCTTTTTGTTCCGCGTTTGTTTTCTTCTTTCGTTTCCGCGTACCATTACTTTCGTCTCCCCTCCGGCTCGCATCATTTATTCTATCATCTC